AGATCCTTGTTTGTGAGATGTAAATCATTGATACCCGATAGACTCATATAAATGGTTCTTACTGCTGAATGCAATGCCAGCTTCTCCGGCCTCCGATGATGATATTTACTCCCTCGGCAACAAGTCATTCACGTTCCCCCCCAGGTTGTCCTCGCCGCAGCCTCGCTTGATAGCAAGGAATTAGCCATGCCGTATCCGTAAAAGAAGCAGCTAGATACTCTCCCGCCGCTGTGTCTTTCCCTCAGCCGGCAACCGCCCTACCACAGGCGGCCCGTCTCCAGAGAACCCCGTAATTTCGCTCCATCATCAGCTTGCCTTGACGGTTCTTCAATGTATGCTAAGCCTACACAGCCAGCCGCATCTTCAATTTATCCTCTCGGACAATCTCTTCCCTCTTCTGCAGCAACTCCTCCATATCCCACGTAACACTCACATACCTCCCACCCAACCACTCCCTCCTCTCCTGCGTCAACCAACTCATCGCATCCCCCGCAAGCTCCGCAGTGTCCGTCAGAAATCCATGCAACGCCTTGTTTCCCAACGCCAGCTCCGTCGGCACCCCACCCGGGTGAATCGCATATGCCACCATCCCCTCACCCGCATACTCGGCCATCGCGAACTCCGTCAACCGCAGCACAGCAAACTTCCCTGTCTGATACGCTGACGCCTCCGGCCGCACATGCAACGCCCCGATCGAGCTCACATTCACAATCGTCTTCTGCGTCCCCTTCCGCAGAAGCGGGATGAACGCCCGCATAACCAGGTACACGCCCTTGACATTCACTTCCCAGCATCCCCACCAGTCCGCCGGGTCGCTTTCCGCGATGGGAACCCACGTCTCCGACGTCCCGGCATTGTTAATCAGGATATCGAGGTGTCCGAATTGAGAGGCGACTTCTGCCGCTGCCGCTGCCACGCTGGCTTCGTCCGAGACGTCGAGGGTTAGTTTGAGAATTGCTGGCGGTGGGTGGCCTGCTTCTTTGGCGGTGGATAGAAGGGCGGTCTCCACGGCATCGAGGGACCCTCGGGAGGCGATGGCGATGGATGGGGCACCGGCCCGCGCGAAGGAGTGCGCTGTGGCGAGGCCGATGCCGCGCGAGGCGCCGGTGATGAGGACTTTGTGGTTGTGGTGGGTGGACTGGGAGATGAAGGGATAGGTATCGTGGTGGTGGGTACTGACGAAGTCCATGCTGCAGGTTGTGTCTGACGTACGTCGCGAGCGAAATACGGCAAGTTACTGATGGCTTCTTGTGAAGATATGGGACCTCAGGTATAGGAGTAGAGCAGGTTTTATACGGTATATGTTGATCGTTTTGAATGGGGATAACGCTGATTACCCCACTAATTCCGATAAATCCAGCAGTGCTGACAAGTTTGATCGTCAACTTAGTGGATGTCAGCCATGAAACCACTAGGCCAAAAAGGTGTCTAGACAACCTCGGAGGCTTATCTTCGATGCTCTTGCTATTCGCCTGGGCTAGGATGACAGAAACAGTGAACTTCAAATAAACCGACTCCGTCGCGCAATCGCCAAAGACAAAACGATCAACGCGAGAATAACACCAAAAATCCCCAACCACCAACCTAGCCCCTTGCTAAGCTTGCCTGGTACCATGACATTCATCCCGAACAGACCGGTAATGACCTGCATAGGCACGATACAGGACGCAATCACTGTCAGCCGGCTGAGCGAAGCCACGATCTGATTACGCATCCGGCTCGAGTCAAACGACAGCTGACTCAAGTACTTGTCCTGCGACCGGGACAGCCTCTGCTCCGAGTGTGCCAGGTTGGAGACCATGGTCAAGACGTGGTCCTGGATATCGATGAGGTAGGAGACCACTTCGCTCGTGGAACCCAGTGCGTCGCAATGTCGGGCAAAACACCGGATGACGTCCGTTTTATCGTTAAGAAGTTGCCGGATCTGGAGGACTTGCCTGCGCGATGTGTAGATCTGCTTCAGTGCAAGTCCGATGTCATCTGGGCGGGTGATGGAGACACCGTCTTCCATCGTCTCCACGCTAGCTTCTACTCGGTTGATGAGTGGAGCGAAGCCGTCGACGATATCGTCGCTGCAATCGTCAGTCAGGATTCTCCCACATGGCAGGGAAGGGGCCATACATCAAAGCGTAAGATATCCAGTCACTTGTCAAAAAGAGATGGCTTTGATGGTCCTTGATCCGGCTTCGCACATGACTCGTATGAGGACTAGTGCCGAAGGTGAAGCTGAGAACCCCCTCTCGGAATACAATAGCATAGACGTTGCATCCTGACGTCCGTGAGCCAGGCACGTCTTCCGCCTGCTGGGGCGGCCGCAGTGAGAGGAAATAATACGGGCCAAAGATTTCGATCTTTTCTCGGGTCTCGCGGATCCTGATATCCTCCGTTGTCAAGGGATGAATGTCAAACAGTCGCGAGAGAAGCTCAATGTCTCCATCTGAGGGATCCGTGACGTCAAGCCACCAAATGCCATCATGCTCTCCACTCTCAAGTAGCGCGTGGAGAGGTCTATAGATCAACGCTAAAGAGTTGATGCTGGAAGCATGAATCACCGAGTCCAGTTTGCTGGTGAAGAAGCTGAACTGTGCTGTCTCGGTATCGGAATAATCTTCCAGGAAATCACGCCTGTACAACTTCTCTGCGTCTTGAGGAGGCTGACCCTGAAATACCTTTTCCGTCTCGATTGACAACCCTCGGCTTCCTGTGCGGGTCCTCCGGCTCAGGAGCCGTCTAAGGCCGGAGAAGAGCTCCATCATTCAAATATAGAGGAAGAGCGGACAGCATTGGACGTCGCATTGAACTTTGCAAGCAGGGCAGCCTCAGAGCCATACTGTTGTTTGATTGAAGCAGTTCGGATGGAAGACTCAAGGACTGTTCAAAATTTCTACCTGGGAGGTGGCAGTGCTCTGCTTTGCCAAGACCTTGGCCCCTGGGTGACATGTCGTAGTGATCGGCGGGTCAATCATAGTCTCAGCAAGGGCTGGGCTTATCTAAAAGACTAGGATGTTGCATCTGCCAAGTAACAAGTACAGAATATAAAACGATAATCTTCGAACAATCTCCAAAAATTGTACCAAATCTTTAGGATGTTGTTTCTGCAATCCCCGCAGACACCTTAAACTTCAGGCATACGTGTGGCAGAGTCACGCGACACGGCTTGGCAAAGAACAAACTTTGTCGAATCAAAACAGCTCCTTTTGCTATCGGCAATGAGGCCGATCACTTACGTTTGTTGTCGAGTCCGAGCAGCAAGAGGGGTAAGGTATCTCATCTCAGTGGGAGATGACCATCTTCTTCTCCTCATCATGCATCCCATCCAGCATGATGCGGCTTGTTCCTGCGTTTCACGACGCGGAAAGCAGACTCCTCTTCAAGATTGATTTTTTCATCCTCACTTTCTGCTGTATCACCTATTTCTTCAACTATCTCGATCGTTCAAACCTTAGTAATGCATACGTATCAGGCATGAAGGAAGAGCTCGCCTTCCATGGCAACCAGCTCAATGTCATCAACACCATCTTCACCGTGGGCTACATCCTGGGCCAGGTTCCCAGCAACCTGGCCCTAACGTACTTTCGCCCGCGCATCTTCTTCCCCGCCATGATCCTCCTGTGGGGCGGGCTGACTATGATCACGGCCGCGGTGCACAGTCCACAGGGGATCATGGCCATCCGCTTTTTCCTCGGTCTAGCCGAGTCGAGCACATTTGTAGGGACGCACTATATCCTTGGATCCTGGTACACGGAGGAGGAGCTGGGCAAACGTAGTGGCATCTTTACGGCATCTGGTCTGGCGGGGACGATGTTTGGCGGTTTCATCCAGACGGGCATTCATTCGTCGCTGGATGGGGTCAGAGGACTTTCAGGATGGCGGTGGTTATTTATTGTAATTTTTTTTTCCCTTCTTCCAAATTGCGACACTGCTAATTGTGCTAGATCGATGGGCTGATCACCCTCCCCATTGCCATCTACGGCCTTCTTCTCTTCCCTGACACGCCATTCACCACTCGCGCTCCATATCTGACGGAGTCGGAACGTGCGTTGGCCATCTCCAGATTGCCTGTGACCAATGCTGAGCGTGCCCCCTTGAACCGGGCTTTCATCAAACGCTTGTTCACCACGTGGTACTGGTGGGCGTTTGTCATCCTCTGGGTGATCGCCGGCGAGACCGAGTCCTTCTCGTCTAACTCACTTCTGGCCCTGTACATGAAATCTCATCCTACGATCAAATATTCCGTCGCGCAGCTGAACAACTATCCAACAGGCGTTCCGGCCGTCGGGATCGTCTCCACCCTCTTCTGGGCTACACTGACAGACATCTTGCACGGTAAACGCTACTTGGTCGCCTATTTCATTGGCATTACCGGGGTCGTGACCTCTGTCCTCATTCTGACGAGGTTCGACTCAACCCCGACCGTGTTCGGGGCATATTACTGGGCCGGTGCCGTGTATGCCTGCCAAGCTACGTTCTTTGCGTGGTGCAACGATGTCATGCGATCGCAGGATGCGCGGCATCGGTCGGTGGTGCTTGCAAGCATGAATATGGGGAATAATGCGGTCAATGCATGGTGGAGTATCATATTCTACTCGGCAAACCTGGCGCCACGGTTCACACGGGGAATGTGGGCGATGATTGGGTGCTCGATCGCATTGGTGATATGGGCGTCGTGGATTGTGTTTATGATGGTTAGAGAGGAGTCCCGGCAGGATGATAGAGAGGCTAGGGATCGTTCTACCGAACAGCCCAAGGCTGAAATATGATTATCGAGATTGATGTATGCCACAAGAGCCGTGATGATTATAAATGCTTGGTAATTACTTTCATACCGCCGTGAGTTAACATGACTTCTGGCCCGCTATCTCCGTAAATTCCGTTTCCGCTGAGTAGTGGAATGTTTTCGAATATTAATACTCCTTGCTCATCATTACATATGCCATCCGCTTCAGCACAAACTCCAACAGCATCCACCGATCCTTAAAATCATCATCTACTATTAACGAATGTCAACATATCTCATAACCGGCACATCCCGCGGCCTGGGCCTCGCCCTGGTGCGCCACCTCGCCAATCTCCCCAGTTCCTCTGTAGGAACCATCTTCGCAACATCCCGCTCAGAACACCCAAGCCTCCAGGAACTCAGCCAACAATCAGACCGGATCCAATGGGTCAAATGCGATGTTACCGACGCAGAAAGCATCCAGGATGCAGCCAGGACAGTGCAGAGTAAGCTACAGGGAAAAGGGCTGGATGTACTCATCAATAATGCGGGCGTGATACCATTTACAAAGGGTGGAGTCGCGAATATGCATGTCCTCCAACACTTCGCTGAGACTATTGAGCCAGTCCTGACCGAATGGCAGGGATAACCTGACGGAAACATTCCAGACAAACGTCAACGGCGTCCATAATGTCACCCGGGAATTTCTCCCTCTACTTCGCGAAGGACGGAGGAAACTCGTTGTTAATATGTGTGTCTTCGCTCTACCCTTGCCTCTAATCATGTCTAACATTCGATAGATCGTCAACGCTTGGCTCAATGACTCTCGCTCCAGTCTACAAAAGCGCGCCAACACCAGCGTACAAAATCAGCAAAGCAGCATTGAGCATGTTGACGGTGCAGTACGCGCAGGATTACGAAAGCGAGGGCTTCACCTTTCTCGCTGTGAGTCCTGGTGTAAGTTCTCTCTCTTTATTTACCGTCCTTTCATCCTTTGTTGAGGGAGATGCTGATCCCTACGGAATACAGTGGCTCCAAACAGATGCGGGAGGATCGAGAGCCGATCTCCCCCCTGCGACCGGGGCAAAGGCAGTCCTCGATATCATACAGAAGGCAACTCCGTCTCAGAATGGAAAGTTTCTGAATATCCATGTGCCTGGATGGGAGGAGAATAAGGGATTGAATCAGTATGATGGCAAGGAGGTGCCGTGGTAACGGCTGGGGGGGCGATGTGTGGTAGATCTAGTTGATAGGTACGCGCTATTATCAAGCCACGTTCCTGAATAAGTCTGTGACAGGGATGTACGGAGTAAGTCTGGGTGACAATGGAAAGAACACAGTTGTGCATGGCTTTTGTGCCAGAAACTGTGGCCCTTCCGCGCTGTGAATCGCTGCTTTATAAGAAAGGCTCAACCTTACTTAGTCCGTCCTAGTGCTAGTCACATTCTAATGGATAGTGTTGCATAACTGAACCGCTGAAATCATATATCCAGTGCGCCGTTCCATCAGAATGTCTGTCCAATCCCTCCCAGACGAGATTCTCCTGCACATCCTTTCTTACCTTCCATCACATGCAGATGCAGCGGCGCTCTCTCTACAATGCCACCGTTGGCATCGTCTTTGTGACATGACCACTCGGCGCAAATACCGCCGAGTAAAGCTTCGAGAGACATTAGATTTGGCTGTGGCCTTCAAAATGCTCCGGTCGATTCTCAAAACCCCTCAATATGGGCGGTATGTTCGCCATATAGAGCTGAACCGATCCCCATCGGTAGGTTATGGAATCGTGCAGTCATACACAGTGAAGCCCCTTCAGCGGACCCTCCGACCAAAAGACCAGGAGCGCCTGACCGCGGCTATTCGGAGGGCCGGCTTTGAGTCTTCGCAAGAACAGGAGAAGATGCTCAACATCCTACTCCAAAATCCGGCCAGCATGGAGTATGACTCCCCCCCTCCCGCACCCTTCTTTATTCTTCTACTGTCTCATGATGCGGCTTTCATGTCCTCAGAGCAAATGACTTCTAGAACGCTCGAGGCTGATTTTGACTAGCCATCATGACCTGCGAACCCCGTTTCTCGCCCAAGCGCTGGCTGCGTTGTTGGTCAGCGTCTCGCCACTGTTGGAATCGCTGAATTTCTGCCCTGTCGGCAAGGAACCTTCGAGGCTGTCGAAATTGACTGCACAAGCCAATGGGACTCCACTCCGAGAGACAGATTATTTCTTCAAGCATTTCCTAGACCGTGCGAATAGTGGCCCGCAGGAGACTATGCCATTCCTGCAATATCTTCGCAAGGTTCGATTCCTTGTCGATGCTGACACAAGTATCTATCGCTGGTTCTATTACCAGCCCTATGACTTTTACGGCAGCCTGAACTTGGTGCGCCGGCTGCCCGGAGTGGAATCCATCCGGGTCGACGCCATCATGGGCACGGAGATTGCCAGTGTGGAACCCCCGCCCCAATCAGCGAATTATACCAAAATCACCATTCGAAACTCCAGTTTGGATTACCACCATCTGGTGCAGGTCATCGAGTCGGCTAAGCAACTGGAAGAGTTTACCTATGCGGTCGGTGGCCGAGGCTCGAGCGATGGCTCGTTGAGCATATTCAGTCCGGATCATGTCCTTCGGGCTCTCCTCATGCACGGTGACTCGTTGCTGCATCTGGATTTGGATGTGGAGGCAGAAGCACCACTGGCCGAGACCTTCGACCCCAGCCTAGGACAAGCTTTCTTTGCCAGTGACGGCCCATCGTCCAGATCCCACCCGGTTTATCAACAGGAGTGGGCAGAAGAACTCCAGGAGCTCGAAGCGAAGGATGACCCGGTCGGTTGTCGATCGTCACCGTGCTCTCTTAGTGGGTTTACCGAACTAAAGAATCTGAGCCTCGGCATCCACCTCCTCTACTACTTGGCTCGAGGAATCGGCCCCGACCAGGTGGAGGATGCATCATTTGCGATCGTGGATCATCTTCCACCAAGTCTCGAATCGCTCTGTATCTATGGGTACGAGAAGGGTATGAAGCCGCAGGTTAAGGGTCTTCCGGACGACGTGTTTGATAGGCAGTTGGAGAATCTGCTTGCCGAGAAGGACAAGAAATTGCCTCGATTGACATACATCGAGGGGATTGATGAGTTAATCGAGAACGCAACCACGGTGAAGCAGCCGCAGAACAACGAGGATGATCTGTGGGAGAGGGAGACGGATGATGAATGGACCGATCATGAGTATGATTAGATGTGGGTTGGACTTTACTTTTGTCTGTGTACTAGCGTGCAGTATTCTGAGCAGCTTTGACACCTGGCATAATCCAGAACAGCGAAATATCATTGAACGGCCTGAGAATCGCGGAAGGTTGGACGCTGAATTTCCAGCACCTTGTGATACCGTTGGGATTCGCTTTGTATTTAGCAAGAATGTACCACTGTCCAGAGCACGAAAAGAATAGTCATTACAGCTTCAGCAATATGGACGAGCGGAATTTGTACCGGGTCTGGAAATTGCACAATTACTATAAAGTTCATAGATGCATCATGCGTTGAATTGAATTGAAGATTTTGTTTGCATGCGTCGTGCTTTTCGATCTCCGTTTCTGCAATCTCGCGTGGGAAAGATGTTGTCGAATCCTCTGCTGGAGTACATAAAGGTTTCCTAAGCCAGATCTACATTCACCAGGACTATTTTCATGGAGGCTTGTTTGATAGGGTGACTTCCAATTGGGATTGAAATATTTTCTTCTCCGACCCTATTTGAGCACTCTTGCACCTCAAAGTTCAGCTGCAGTCAGGAACGCCAGGAACTCCACCTGTCATTTTCTCCTTCCCCCCGTGTCTCATATCTGCACGTTGCTTTTTTGCTTTACCCAGCATGTCAAAAGTCCATACGAGGCCAACCAGAATGTGTCCAGAGGAGTTCGACAGGTGTGGGCACTAATGAATGACAGATGTGATACGTCAATTGCCCTTTGGCTTGAAATAATGAAGCAAGCATTTAAAACTGACGGCAAGACTTTAAGCTGGTTCAAATGAAAGTAGTTTTGGTATAAGAGCGACTGAGTTTTCAGGACAGAGAGAAGTTTCAGTTTCCTCCTTTCTGCTTTCTTCACTCCTTTTTCCTTTCATTCATTTGCTCTTTTTCACATTGTCACTCATTATCTCATTCCCTCGTTCATTAATTTTCTTTCGCCATGAACAAAAGAAAGGTCGAGCTCATGTCCGACGCTGTGGATACACACGAGATCTCTGTTCTCCACGAGCTTCATGGGGAAGGTGAACCTATAGGCTCGGAGACTCACCTCTCCGAGACCCAAGAACCACGCCGGAAGAAGAAGAAGACCAAGAAGAAGAAGAGATTCTCTGAAGCCACTCAAACTTGCGAGAATAGCCAACTTGGTCTTGCCCAGATCATGCAGATCCAGCAGCCGAACCAGAGCAACTCTCTCACCGATGTGGAGTTCTCGCCGGACATATTCCATCGTCTCACGACCATCACCCCCCTCAATGGACCTCATGCAAATCCCAACCGGCGAATCCCTCCAGCGCCAATCCCCTTCAAACACAACGACTACCTGTGCAACCTGTCGATCTCGGAAGCAGATATCATTGCGATGGAACTCTTTCAGGGAATGTACCGGCTCGAGATCAGCGAACTTCCCCACCAAGAATGTCGGATGACGCTCATCTGGGACTACGACCGTGTCTGGGGCTGCTTCGACATTGGCGTGTGGAAGGGCCTAATGCTCATCGACCCTGGGCCGCGAGATAACACCACGACCTCGTACTCCTTCGCGTGGCGAGGCGTCTGCAAGAAAGAGGCCGAGGTCGCGTACGACAACGAGGGTATCACAATCGGAGAAATCACCCTGGGTGGGAAGGGTCCTGTGTCCGGCTGCTTTAGGGGAATGGCTGTCGCGGATTTCCCCGACGACAAGTGCGTCTTCAAGGCCGTGCGGGAGGTCGGACCGCCCATGATTCCGTGGCCTGTTGAGACCTTCATCGCGGACTGGAATTATCTTCAGCATGATACAGCAAAGGAGCCCGAGTCGCAGCGCCTGGTTCTACTTGCGCTTTCTCCTGAGCCGGAGTCCCAGGTTGTGAATGACGAGGCCATGCGGATGGACTGCGAACAGGATTTGGAGGATCCAGACCAAGAACAGGATGAGGTCACTACGGAAGTGTATCCTTCCTCTCCTGTCCGTAAACCAGCCGAGACTCCACACACTTCCCCGCCGCCCGAGGAACCGACCCAGCAATCTCAACCGGCTGCCAGCACCATCGGTCGACTCCACGCAACCTCCTTCACCATGCAGCGCTCCTGGGCCCGCCACGACCAGGACAAGTTCCTCGAGGTCGTCTGCGGCAGCTACGAGATCTCCAGTCCCACTATGAAACACAACTGGTCGCGCAAAGCCAGCAGACTCAGGATGCGCCTTCTGGTCGATCGCAAGGAAAGCTGCGTGTGGGGCATGTTCGCCATGGGCGTCTACCGCGGCATCATGCTCTTCCAGGAGTCGCCTATCCGCTTCCAAAAGGACAAGCGGCTGAAGTTCTGCTGGCGGGGTAGAGAGACTGATGGTCGCGACTGCGCGGAGAAGTTGGGGTACCTTCTCTTTGCGGACGATATGAGTATTCAGGGCTGTTTTTACGATATGTATGGCGATGTGCCGTTTGCCGGAAGACGGAGGACACGTCCAGCTGTTGAATCGCGGTTTGATGAGGCGTTCTTCAAGCAGCAGTGGTGGGAGCATGAACCGGTTCCGCCGACTCTGCTTCGACATGTTCAGGCTCAGGCTCAGGCTGAGACTCAAAACTGAGATTCAGACTTAACCTGTGACCTAGGGAGATATCTATTCCGGCTAATAGATTTGGTTATCTCCTTTACTCTGTGAAGACTTTGATATGATTAGATAGAGGAATTGGATAGTATAGTCTCGGTGTCTAATAACAACAAAGAGCTCGCAAAAGCTTGTTGAGACCATTGGAATGCTTGTGAAAATGACATCCATGCATAACAATGTATTCTTAGATGCCCGTGTATTGAGTCATAGAATAATTCACCCTAGCCCAAAACTCATACTCATCAGAGGGCAGAATGGTAGATGCTGATTTTCTCCATGATGAATCCATTGTCATCCAAACCAGACCAAAGTACTCCCTTGCAGCAATACTGTATCCAGCAGCACCCCAATCAATAATCCCAGCTACCTTACCATCGTCGATGATGATATTAGTTGGGTGTAGGTCACCATGAGTCAGCATTTTCCTCTCGTCTTGCCCATTCTCCCCTGATGCAAGAATCTCTTCTGCTAGGCGGTAGTCATCCTCATCAACCAGCTGCCCACAGGGCCTTGCATTCTTAAGCGCTTCGACAACACCTTGGTTGAATTCCTTTCGTGTTTGGAACGGCCCATATTGATAATTCTGATTTCCCCAAGGATGCATGAAGACGGTATCTTGACAGGGCCCTTGGTCTATAGACCCAAAGAACGTGCCTTCAATACTGCGCCATTCATGTATATAGCCTCGGAGTTGGTCCACGATGACTTTTTGGGTATCCTCAGGAAGATCTTCCCAGCGTACCTGAAGAGTAACACCAGGTATCTTTCTCATTAAGATAAATCCAATATCTTCAATCATATAAGCATTGAGCACTTCTGGGACAGGGACTGATGTTGAGTTTCGGACAAGGATCATAGCCTCAGCTTCTCCCATGGTGACTGTATGGCCTACTTTCAGGATTGTCGATTCGCTGATCTCTAGTATTTTGCAGCCACTGACTCGGCGAGGGCATAGATCACGAGAATTCCTAATCTCATGATGTGCCACAATAGGTCGTGCTTGGTCTTGCATTGAACGAGAATAACGAACGGCTAAAGGAGAAGGAGAAGATAACAAATCGTAGACGTATTGTCGAATGTTCCGTTTGGAAGGCTATGGCATGTTTATAGTGGAATGCAATGTAAAGGGCGATATACTTACTTTACTCATATCAAAGGAAGCCTTTATTGTCATTTCGCCGTACACTCTCTTCCTCGAACCGTTTTCATCAAGAATCGATGGTGCTCAAGGAAAATCAACGCGACAGATGTCTCGAAGTGGGGTACTAAAACAGAAAAAGAAAGACATCAAGACCTTGCCAAAACTTGATTGGTATTTGTTAACGTGAGGAATGGGAGCAACTGCAGGTCTTTAAATTAGGGATAAAGGAGCATTCAACCTCCAGCAGAATAAATGTTCGACCTCTTCTCTCCAATAGGAATGGTATGGTGATACCATGTTGATACCAACCCATAGACACATGGGAAATATCCTTCTATACTCCATTGAAATAAATACCCCGGTAACAGACACCAGCTACAACCTACCAACAAGCCACGTCCCTTCACCGTACACTCCTGGACCTGTATGCGCATCGGAAATGGCATATTGCACCAATAGCGGCACGGGCCATATCCTGATTGATACTCCTACTGTATGAGTATTCAACACAGTCGCTAAGCCTTGTAATTTAATGGTTCATTCTCATTTTACGATTGTGTCTTCATGGAAATAGTGGCTATAGGCATTCACCCTTGTCTAAGGCTCAACACAGCCGCAGGAAACCTGCACTCTATTCTATTCATATGGAGTAAAATAATTAACTTTCCTAGCAAAGCTGCTAGTGAATGTTTACAAATATTCAATGATTATATCAGACGAGGCAAACTACCTCGATGTATGAATTTCTACCTCTCAATATCTTCCAGGACAGCTTCATTACGCATTGAACGAAGCTTCCCTTTTGTACATCTTAAAGCTTTGCTCACTCTCGTTACTTTGATGCCATCAGCTATGGCCAGCTCAAGCACCCCAGAGCACTCCTATCATCTCGACAAGAATAGGGCATGGGATAGTTTCGTTGACAAGTTGTACGCTACTATTGGGCCATTGTCGATTCTTGTTAGTGGTGGTAGCATTGCTGACTGAAATTTTAGATAAGTAGGTTTGTTGGATGAGAGAAGCGTAAAAAAGATTCAGGGAAAGCTTCTTTAATCTGAGGTCTCAGGTCTCAGTGGCATGCTACCAAGTTGAAGTGGTATCGGCCCATGCTATGGTATTGCGATCGATTGATTCCTTCATTGGTGGTTTTTCTAAGATACGTACACCGGCGAGATGGGTGATACCATACTCATATAGTCTTCCCACCATATAAACCAAAGATGATGATGCTTCAAATCAGATGAGATGATGATGAGGTTCCTTGTGTAATAACTAGATTCTTAAAGTACCTTTATATCGACTTCGATCAGCTCCAACGCGAGTAATTGTCAGCCAATTTGAATAACATAATAATTGCGGTGCTGATTGCATAGTCATATTTCTTTAAAGATGATGTTTACTATTGACATAAATCACTACACTATATGCGAGTCTAGACAGTGTTGCTATTGAGTAGCAAGCAAATACAGGTAAGAATCGCGACATCCTATGCGTCCTCCCTCGTCACAGCAACCGCTACTAAATACAGTACTTGATCCAGGACCTAGAATATTGTTGCCAAGAGAAATGACAAAGACATTATCAGATTGGGATGATTAGAAGCTTAAGCCGCAATTAACTTTCTGGATCCCAACTGGAATAGTCACGAGCTGCCACGCCCACCTGATGTTGAGTTCATATCATGATATCCATCGAATCACGAATCACTCGAGAACCACGGTCTCTCTCCTTCGCTGAGATAATCACCTGTATGAGTGTTGCACGAGCTGATTGACTGTACAATGGGCTAATTATATCATCAGTGGTGCTGGATTGCGCAACGCAATTGATCTGGCAACCTTGTGGATACCCTGCCATTGGAGAGCTACAGGTTCAACAACAATGAGATGCATGCTCGCACTTACATCAATAAAGCTGCAATGACGACCAAATATATGAAATTCATTACAGGCCTTGACATGTGGCTGAAACTGATCCACTGATGATAAAGTGCAGCCTGATGTGGTTGACTCTCCGCACGATGACCGCGAGATGACGGCATCGCTCCTCGCCACTCTTCAGAGATACCACAACTATCCCCGGCTTGACGCAATCCCCAAACATGATCGTGAGGAACCTGCTTTATAAAAGGATTGAGAAGTCGCCTTAAGTCTGTTTGAACCAATCCACAATCCACAACAAAGCAAACTCAATCAATAACAGAACTGCACCTATCGATTTGAATACAAAACATTGCAAGTCTTCGACAAGATGTCCCACATGATGCACAAGGTGAAGGAGGCCTTGAGTGGCCACCACCACCATGGTGAATCCAAACAAACCAGCACAGCGGACAATGGTCCCCATGAGTCCGAGGCTGCCAACAAGGTCGATCCTCGGGTCGATAGCGACCGTGGTATGTTCACCAATATGGAATAATGACAAAAGATCAGAACTAACCTTCTTATGGCTTAGACAACCGCGCTCGCACTGAGGCCATGGGAGGTACTGCTGGTCCTCATACATCTGACACTGCCAACAAGCTCGACCCTCGGGTGGACAGTGACAGGGACAACCGTGGTGCCACCACCGGTGGCTACGGCACAGGCCCTACTGACACTACCACCGGCGGCTACGGCACAGGACCTACTGACACTGGCCCTACTGACACTACCGCCGGCAACACTTATGGCAGTGGAAACCCCACTACTGGCTCCTATGGTACCAAGAACACGTACGAAAGCACCAGCAACACCCAAGCATCTAGGAACACTTATGAAAACACAAGCACCACTGCTGGTCCCCACGACTCCAACATTGCCAACAAGCTCGATCCACGCGTCGACAGTGACCGGGATAACCGTGGTCTGGGTACTGGCACTGGCACTGCACCAGCTGGAAGCAGCTACACTGGTACTGGTGCTGGAACCACGGCTGGCCCTCACAGCTCCAACGTCGCGAACAAGCTCGACCCTCGTGTCGATTCCGACTTGGACAACCGTGGCACCATGGGAACTCAGCGTGGTTACTAAGCGACGGGTATTTGATGAGAATGATATTTGGTAATGCTTAATGCTTTGTGATGGAATACTTTGATACCAGTAAATTGCACGATTGATGATTTCTATGATTTCTATGATTTCGGCTTTGTATTATCAGTTTGATAGTTTGCGACAATGATACTTTTCGTCTCTCCAAAAGATGGTTTCTTGTAGAAGACAGGTTAATCAGCCGCTTTCAACCTTACTGTCTGGATCGATCGTAATATCGACATGGGCGCTGCCAGTGAGAAAAGGAGCGAGGCATGAGCATTAGCAGTACCGTAGTACCGCTCATATTTTGCGTACGATGAAAAACTTGGGAAGCTTGAACTAGTTTCTGTACCCCAATGATGAGTACCCAGCCACATCTCTTGCTGCGATATCAGTCATACACCACATAAAGTTTCTGTGCTACTTGTCTACCTGTCAGTCTGACATCTGCAGACCATCGTTGGGTAGCTACAGCGCCCGTCCGAATCTCATTGCTCGCGAGAATACGACACAATATGACGCATCAACATGAGAGACCTCCCTTACAGAGTGAGTGACCAGAAGCTGATTATGCCAACATGGCTTGAGTACTAGCTGACCTCCATTGTCATGGCACAAGATGATACTAAGCCACCCTGAGTGAGACAAAGTTGACATCGTCGGTAAATGAATTGTTCCAGAGGCAGATACGATGCCATCTAAAGCTGCAAATTTAGACTTATCAATCACCGGTGTTGAGGGAACCGAGAGTTGGACGCAACTCTGAACCCACGAGGAATCCATGGTTACATTAAAAGATATTATCCACAGAGGTGAGTCCTATGTCCTCCTATTATGCTATCGTTGCAGTGCTAACCCTCGGTATTGAGTAGCAACTACAGAAAGATATTTACATGGCTATCCGCACTCCCTCGTTCCCGACACAACCCGATTAGCTATCTCAACTATACGCTGCGATAGCCTTATCAAACGCATCCGCAATCTGCTTATTGATCATCGGCGCAAGCTGGGCATACAATGGCGTCAGCTTCGCCGCAACCGCATTCCCGAGCTGCGCCGACAAATCCTTCTGCTGCTGCAGATTCGACTTGACGAGGAACGCCAACGATCCAATCCCCAGCAACCCGGTATCGAACTTTGGCTTCTTCGCGACGATATTGTTCAGTGTGGAGAAGATCTGCGGCTGGAGATTGATGAATGCCGATGCGACGGTCAGCGATTCCGCGTTTGTGAAGTTGGCTGCGTCCTGCGTGGTGGAGATCCCGTCCCTGAGGTCGCAGGAGAGCTTGACGGATTCGACTTCGATCTTGAGAGCTATGAGGGTGCCTTGGATGCCGCCATTGTAGGAGGTGACGGTGTTGTTGAGGACGACCATTTGGCTGGCGATCGTGTTGACTGCGTCCACGACGGCTGTAGCGTCGCGTTTGATGATTGTGGCGGTTGGAATGGCGCTGGCGACGGCCGTGGCCGCGAGGAGGGAAAATAGGAAACGCATCTTCACTTCAGGATGACGATGATGTGTGGATAATCTAGTGCGTGTGTATCTTGAAGTCAAGTTGATCAGGGGAATTTATACCCTGTCCGGCCTTGTTGAATTCCCGGTCTTCATCATCCTGCAAGATGTCTGTGCCCAACTGCGTAGGTTCCATGAATTCTTCCCCCAATACCGCAAGAGGACAATGGGACTATATTCTACCCCGCAAAAAGAAAGCGAGATGCGATATTGCAGACAGGGGTCCGAACGAATCACACTGCCTTGTGGCTGACAAGTCGATGTAACCCCACATGTGAACTGGGGATCCTCCCGAGGCTTGCTAAGTGAAACATTTCGCCTAGAAGAGCAATCTTTGCGATTTTATATCAACCCTTGGCTTATTGTTAATGTTTTGACCGTAGCCTTCATAGGTGATTGATTGCTTACCTCGGATGGGTATATGACTCTATTTTAGACGTGGACACCTCGTGATCTAGGTAATCTTATTCCGAAAACAACGCGACATGAACCATGACTCGGTATCCGCGAATTAATTGACTTTGTGAGGACTTTGGCCAGATGCTCTATCGCAACTCCCGAACCCCACTGATTGTCAGGTTCAGAAGGTCTTTTAACTAAGACTATCTGAGCGCGGTATCGATTTTCCATACCATTATCGGAGCCTCAGCCCAATAGAGGAGTGAGTATGGCGTGGTACCAAAAATTAAGAATATTTTGAGTGTCACCTGCTTGATCATCGAGCCTAGGCCTGGGCAGATTGAAGGACCCCTCTGGATCAGCATGGGCCTATAGTGAGCCGGTCTATCTATCCTAGAGTCGATATCGTCATCATATGGCGACGACATCTACAGTGCTTCGACTAATTCCACAACAAGCGACCCTATCCGGAATACCCATGTCCATATTTGCTGTCTTTGTGTGCCGAGCCATAATCTCAATAATCGGTAAATGTAAGCGCGAGTTTGTTGGGTGGTGAGCGATCCTGCTCCGTATAGTCTCGGTAACTGCCTCGGTTCAGTGGATAGTTCCTGACGATATAGCAAAGTCAGCGATCCGGCCATTAGTCCGCCCTGATAATGATTTGATAACTTACAAGCGTTTCCGTCAGCTGGGCGGACCAGCTCCTGCCGTCCGTTATAGCTGGTTTGCGTTTCAGATTATCTGCACAATGTAGCGTTGCCTACCATAACAAAGTCGAACTCGACTTTGTATTGTAAGTCATGGTGCGATCCAAGACATCGAGTTATTGGACAGCTGGACCGTTCCCCATTTCATCGATGAGTGCTTCAATATCCAACTAGGCAAGAGGAACCAGTCAACTGGAAGGTGTCATCCTTAATTTACGGTCCGATACTTGAAGATTGATCAGAATCCAGATTCAATAAAGATGGACCAGATGGGATAGCAGCGAAGGAGATGGAGAGTGGGATATTTAGGCGAATTCAAGATCGATTACCTGTAGTCTCTGCTCCCTCCGTGCACTGAGGGTCTTTGGTACTACCCAAGGGTAATGTTCTCACATCAAAATTTCAGGGTGATTGGCGGTTCCGTGGCGGAAACTGCATTGCGGCTGGCATTAGCAAGTAGTATATATTCTAGTTAATGCACCAGTGGTTTAAGACTCAGCGGCTCTCGAAGAGGTTATTGGTACTATGGTTGCCACATGGAATGTGTGACAAGTCTACGTCGTGTTTATGCAAAAGTTCGTGTTAATATTCCGCTCGTTAGAGAGGGTGGTAGAATAAGAGATAGGGTATAAAAGGGCTATGGTGGCGATAATTTTATACATAAAGAAGCTCATCTTAGCTTCACCTGTCGTCTACTGACGGACAGGTTACTGGACTCCAGCTCCACAATGAGGTGTGAGCTTGTCGCTGGAGGCCTGGAGTTCAGACTCAGCTGAGACAACCAGGCACCCATTGAGAAGGTAGGATTTCAGCCGCGAGGACTGGTGCGCGTTTTTCAGCGCTGGCAGTAGAGGCAGGGCCCATCTCTCAACTTGTTCTTGTCGAAGCGTATCAGTGGTCGCGATGACGGGGTTAGCCTTGGGCTGGTCGCTCGCGATATTGGTGGGAGAGGACGAAGGCGATGATTAACCAGGAAGACTCCGGGATTGCAGCACAGGCCTGGCGAAATAGTCAAATCCGCCATCGGAGTCTACATCCGACTCATCATCCGCCAGGTCCTCCGGTTCTGCGCTACCCCTTATGGCAATCACACGATTCATGATCCACTGCATTTCAAGGAGCCGAGTATCTGGGAGGGGATGAGTCTCTGGATCATGCGTCTCAAGCATGATCTCTTCACCAGAGACGAGTGCATGATCATTGATGACATTATGCAGACCAACTGCATATTCTTTTGGGCGAAAATCTGGGGGAAGTTGTGGGGGAACAGTAAATGTAACACCTCCTTGATGGTCATGTTTTTTCAGCCACCAGAACCTAAGTTTGAGCCACTTCCCATCATCATCCTTGGCAACAGGCTCAAGGGCAAACAGTGCCCTTGTGTGTAACTGATGTGCATTTAGGCTGAGCAATATGAAATTTTCAAGCTTTGCAGTCTTGGAGGCATCTCCATAGACAGCATCATGCCACTTATTCACCCTTTCATCACTCCAGAAATCTCTCAGTGCCTGGAAAAGTCTTTCCACATCCTTTGTCTTCTCATTATTCAGGCAATATGGGTACAAATGGCATGATTGGCAGATGTCTTTGTTGTATTTCGTGAGAATGCAGGCTTTGTCGCGCTCCTTACTCTAGGATACCGCGTGGTTAGTGCTAAGGCAGTTGCGATAGATTCTGGGGGGAAGGCATAGGTTACAATATCCCCGAAGTCTTCGTATATTTTAGGCTTCTTCGCCGCTTTGGGCGTGCCCAGAGGTTCACCTGGTCTTTTGCGCGATGTATCAGGACTTCCTGCCGCTTGGACAGACAGGGGTGGGCCCTGGCGTTGCGGAGTTGAACTGGGAGGCCCAGATGTGGAATCGCCGGGCCAGGGGGGAGAGGAGGACAGGAACAAGGGTGGAGCCTCCTTGATTGGTGTCTGTGGAGCAGATGGAGCCCTTGAGTCAGGTTGGTTGTCTTGTTGCCCTGAATTGAACACGCTGTTAGGCGTACATAATAATAGAGACTGTATGATGGCTTACATTTTTGACCTATTCTGCCCTTGGTCTCAATGCGACAGAGCTTGTCATAGAGCTCAAAAGGCTCATACAGTCCATCATCCGGGAGATGTCGATCAACCAAAAACCGTAGCTTCTCCATGTCAGCAAGCCACAAGCACGCATAAGAGGTTTTGAACTTTTTTATGGTATCGAGTTCAGATTTCAACGTGTTCAGTCCATCGGCAATCTTGTTGATCAGCTTGACACGCTCAGGATCCTCGAAAAGAGCACCGGGCGGCGAAACGCCGGCAGCACCCTCGGAGGAAGAACCTGGACGGCTTGAGCTGACCATACTGATGATACTTGATCCAGCTGTTACAGGACGCTCAGAGAAGTAGAAAAATATCCATGTTGACATGACGGAAAATCGACTCCCACCCACTCAGTCCAGTCACATGAGTGACATGACCACATTTTCAACATTCACACATGCCCCCTCGGCACCAGAAGTAGTTAGACTGGCCGGAAACGGCTGGAGCCCTGGAGCAGACTAACAGAGTAGCAATGGTCCCAGAACTCAAAATTAAGGTACGAACTATGGAGTAAAGAAGGCAGTCTAGAACGAACTGAAAAATTATTTGTGAGGTCCTCCACAGTACATTCAACTAGGCACCTAGTTGAAACGATCGCATTCCTTAATTACCAAGTCCATCGTGGCCTGTATGCCTTGGGAGTCTTTGAGAATCAGGAACTCATGCATTCCAGGCAGAGACCTAATGGAAACGAAACGTTATGGAGTATGATCAACCGAGGCGGATACTTTTTTCCTTTTTCCTTTTCTGTTTTTTCTTCTTTAAGCGTCTCTTGGCCAATAGCGGAGATCTTCTGCCTTGACCTGAGAGAAACCACATAGTCTAAGGTTCTTTAGGCAAGTATATGCCATAATACATACAGACGTCTTCAAATTATTGTTCACATATCGAAGCGAGCCCAAGGAATTTATGACATTTTGGAGGCATGCCGGTTATGAATCCGTAGACGATGAAGGGATGACAACACTAATTGAGGGTTTTGCCTTCATTAAAACCAGTGGTCGGACCAACATGAAAAAAGATAATTGGAAGTAGTATGAGCAGATCGAAATACCGCGGAGTTGCTTAGATTGCCAAAGCAAGACGGGAAATAGGTATTAATTGACAATACAAAATGCAGGTGTACTCTACAACATACTCCAGATGCATCAAGACATGTAAACATTGCCAAAAAGCTTTACACACGACAGGTTTGAACAAACTACACCACAAGGGTAAAAAAATCTGTTTTCAAACATAAATTAAAATGTTAATTACATATGAGAGTAAGCTCGTCTTAGCTTCGCCAGTCTATAGTCATATACTGGTTACTAGACTCCAGCACCACGGTGACGTGTGAGCTTATCGCTGGAGGCCTGGAGGTTATCAGAAATGACGACCAGGCACCTACTTGCGCAGGATTTTGGTCCAAAAATTAGTGTGGATGACACATTGCAGCGCCATCGAAGGTAACCGGGACACATTGCAGTGCCATCGACGGTAACCAGGACACATTGCAGTGCCATTAAAGGTGATGATCACATAATTGCAGTGCCGTCATATTAAAGAATCTCTCACTGAGCATTCTTTTCAGCCTCGAAGTCCATTTGATCTGCCCATGGCGCTCACTCGGAAGGTTCCTGAGGAGCCGGCCGCATTGGCAACTCTGCTGAGTGCTGGGGGTGCTACTCTTGGGGAGACTGCTGCTGGCGTCCCAGCTGCTCCTGCGCCTGCTGCTCCAGCTGCTCCAGCGCTTGCTGTGCCAGCTGCGCCAGCTGCTGCTGCCGCTGCCGCTCTGCCAGCCGACGTGCCGTGCGACGTTGCCTCGAGTTCATACGAGGGTGCTGCTGCGGAGGGCCCAGGGGAGGGCGACTGCTGCGGCTACTTTGAGTAGCAATTGCCCTTGTCTAATGCAAATCCATCAGATTGAACTGTTTGTCATCTTGGGAGAATTAAACGCACCGTTGCCAGAGCAAGATGGCTGAAGACAACGCTGAGAAGACGGCACTCCTCCGCGTTGTGTCCCCTTTTTCCACAAGCCCGGCACCGCTTCTCCTATTATCAAAAGCCGAGAGTGAGTAAATTTCTAATGGAGACCAGTCCATGGACATACCTTCTTCTTCTTCTTCTTCATCACCTTGCCCGGGCCCCGATCATGTGGACGCCGACCACCCTTGCCGCGATCGGGGCGTCTCCCACCAGAGTCAGAGGCGACAATGGGGGCATGCATGGATGCAGAGAGACCTTGGACCGCCGTACTCATATTGAATAACCTTGCTTGTTCAGCGTTTCTGTATTCCTGAGATTTGGCGATGGGAAGAGAAAGGAAAGGAGAAGAAAAGAGAGAGAAGAGAGAAGGAAGAGAAAATTGTTTGTTTATCACTGCCAGTGTTGCTCAGTGGTCATTCACCATCACCATGTCTTCCTAGAAGATCCATAAACGAAAGTGAATGACCAGCAGACAAAACTAGGAGGTGAGAACCCATCACTACGCCTCGAACAAATACTAACTGTTGATAACTTTTTATTTTCTCTTTCTTTTCTCCTCGCTCTTCTTCCCTCCTGTCCTTCGACTCCTCACCACAACCACCATCGCTATTTTCTCATCAGCAGAAATGGCTACTCAGATAGCTTCGGTTACCAACTCCGTTTCGGCTACAGCTCATCTTAGCCAGCTGCTGCCTCTGGCTCCGGCGGGAGAAATCCTGACCGGAACAATGGCGACAGCCACGGCCCTGGCAAGGGCAAGGTGAAGAGGGCAAAGAAGGTAGCTCGAGCAAAGATCCATCTACCTCATATTGAGCTGACAGGATACTTTACAAAGGGACCAGTGGTGTTCTTTCTGCCGACGCTGGGGTCACGACGCTGCGACGTGTGTGTTGCCGCCCGCATCCTGGCCGCTGTGGTAAGGACAATATTACTCATCATGCTAAAGTCATGCTGACTATGACTTCTCGTTACAGACTGCGGTGTCACAGAACCAGGGAGATCTTCCTCCTCCTCCTCCTCCTCCCCCCCGTCCTCGTGGCTGGCAGAATCGTCCTCGAATCCCAACAGCAGGGACCGTCGTAGAGATCGACGCAGGCTGCAGCACCTGCAATAGCAAAATGCAGGGGGAGGCTCAGCTGCGCCAGGTACAAGGCCAGGAGGATGAACGGAAGCAAAGAGTTGATTCGCATCACGGCGAAGAGAAGAACACTACTTGTGAAGCCGACCGCCAGTGAGGCCCGTGTGTTCCTTCGGCACTGGAGAAGTGTCCTTATTGTCCTGGCGGCACTGAGAAGTGTCCTTATTTGCGGCGCTGGAGAAGTGTCCTCATTTACGCCCACAGGTTATGTGGCGGATCGTTGTCAACACTGAACAAGTGTGCTGAGAATGTGCCCCTGACACATTGCCTGAAATCCTACTAAGTAGGTTCCTGGTGGTCATCTTCGATGGTCTCCAGGCCTCCAGCGATAAGCTCACACCTCACCGTGGTGCTGGAGTCCAGTAACCTGTAGTTTATGTGCAGGTGAAGCTAAAATGAACTTTCCTTGTATATAGCCATTGGTCTGTATGTAGCATTCCTGGAATTGAACCGGCGGTTTCCCATTAACACTCAATCAACAAAACAAACTACCTTTACTAAAGTGCACTTACAACCCAAAGTTAGTAGCTACTGGCTCCCAGTTCTAAAAATGGGATATTCTAACGTACGATGCCTTCGGAGTATGCACTACAAATCAACTATGCAATACTGCAGGAGCTGCTCTGTCACTTCTTCACCCATAACATCAGAGCGGTATATCGACATTTCGTAATCTTGCAAGAGCCACTTTTTACAGGCTACTTGTCAGCCCATAAATCGTTGAAGCGCTATAACTTCATGTTCAGAATCTTAATTTGCTTGTCCTTCTATGACCTTACTACGTGATCCGCTACAGTAGCCATACTTGGGGAGATCGGCCCCCCGCGCCAAAACAGGTTAGACTAGGCAGGCAACCGTTGGATACATAGATGTCGCCTTGTTTCTGTAGATCTGATCAACTCCACAGCTTCATCTTACCACTATGGTTCCCAGAGTGACGTCTATCTTTCGTGCTCAAGTCACACCCCCATAGTCTGGCCATACAACCCTCTGGGCGATTTACATCATGTCACCATGAAAAATCTCCTCTTTCATAACATCACCAGTTACAGCTTGATAAGAACCAGCAAAGCAAAATTAACCTCGAACAAAGCTTTACTCGTATTGAAGTTCTTACTTCTGATTTGCTTTGATGCCATCAGCTATGGCCAACTCAAGCGGTCCAGGTGCCCCTTTCGAGGAGACCGAGCGCTTCAAGCTGATAAAGATTATCACTGAAAAACTCGGGAATCTGACAGATTACACCCACAAGATAAGTACTTTTAAAACTTCTTATGCGGCCTTATGGCTCGCCGATATTGAGAAATTAATTGCATTGAGTGACAAAGAGCCTTTTGATATTTATGCCAGCCTACTGGTTTTTGAGTCGGACCACAGAATAGGTCAAAGATGTCAGCAATCATCCAGTCTCTATCATTATGTACGGCTGACAGTGTGTTCTATTCAGGGCAACAAAAGGACCGACAGGAGGAAGCTGTTGACTCGCGCAAAAGATCAGGTGAATACATGGACTTGCCCAATGGGAAGGGGCCTAGAAGACAATCTGCAGACGTTGCAGTAAGCTATGCCTTCCCTTCACGGTCCATTCCAACCCACCCAATACTGATTTTGTGGCAACCTAGTGTCAGGACCGCGATAAAGCCTGCATTCTCACAAAATACAGCAAGGACATCTGCCAGCCATGCCCTTTATACCCAATTTGGATGAGTGATGAGAATATGGTTGATGTGAGATTGTTTTTCGGGGGACTAAGACAATTTTGGAGGGATAAGAAGGTGGATGAATGGCATAACGCCATTTATGGAGATGCCTCCGGGCCTGAGAAGCCTGAAAATCTCATACTTCTCAGTCCAAACGCATATGTACTATACACCAAGGGATATATTGCCTTTGAGCCCATCGACAAAGATCCAGAGGGCAAGTGGCTCACACTTAAGCTTTGGTGGCTGCAGCAACATGAAGAAGACTGTGTTGATTTCAGTATTATCCCGCAACTTCCATCAGATCTCCACCCATCAGACTACGGTGCTGCTCTGCATGATGTCCGCAACGATCGTCCACTCCTCTCTGGTGAGATGATGACCCTTGAGACACATGATCTGGAGAATTGCCCTCTCCCAGATACACGAATCCTTGAAATGCAGTGGGTCCTGAATCGTGTGCTTGCGTTAAGTGGTACTGTGAAACCGAATGGTCTCGAAGACGATGAGTGGCACGAAGACTCAGATGAGGAACTCAGCTAGTTACCCAGGAATGCATTGCAATCCCTGTCGATTGGACTGAACTAGCTCGATATTGCAGGCCGGAAAACAGCGCCCCTTACTGAACCCCTCACTGACGAGGTTTTTATCAAGGAGAATACGCTCGGCTATCGCCGAAAGTCTCCGCCATGTAACATCGGGGCAGTTCATCCAAACTACCCATGGCTCTGCGTTAAGGCCTTGCAAAAGACATCAGAACTTGTGTAGATATGGCTGGCCCATTGATTCCGGGGCAAAGGCATACTCTGGAAAGAACAGCACAGCCTGCAACGTTTGGAGATATTAGCACACTTGACAAGGACACATCCCAGCCATATATTCTGCTCCACCTTCTGCCTGGGGACGAGGGCTATGCTGTATTGTCCCAACGCACCTTGCCTTGGTCAAACGCGTCTGTGCAGCCTGAAATCTGCTACAGCTGAAGGTACTACTCAGTTTCATGGGCTTAAGGAGTCATTTCCTTTGAGTTGGAGGAGATAGGTCCAAGGTTCTAAGAATGGCATGTCACCTAGTGAGCAGGGCACGAGCAATTCTTTCAAATCAAGCCAGTTAAACGCCAGACAACCTCGATATAAACGAAAGGTCGCCATGCATATTGGAAGGGAGAATATCCAAGTACGTAGTACGCTATCGGCTGTATTCAATAGGATCACTACTCAGTATAAACCGCGCACAAGAGTACCCTTATTTGACTCGACATTACCATAGTGGAATGAGTGATTCAACATAATATCTACCCGTATCCTCGGACAGCATGAACCTACACATATTTGATGGTATTGACTAGGTCGCCACCACCATCCCAAGCCAGTATTTCCTCCTGCTCACGATCAAATCGCAAATGCCGCCAAAACACCCATAGCCATAACCATTCCCGCTGGCTGATTCACAGCAGCAATTCCAGCGTGCGTGAACGACGAGGCAGCCGCGGTAGTAGTGGTAGTCGCATGAGTCGTAGTCACAGTGGCCGCAGTGCCAGTTGTCATGGAGCCAGTAGACGAACCGGTAGTGGTAGCTGAAGACGAGCTCTTCGTCTGTGTTGGACTCGCCGAGCCACTGCCACTGCCAGACGCAACAGTGACGTTAGGAAACAGTGTACTGCGACATTCATCTGGAATGCCAGCAGCGAATGCGGCAACGTCAGCCGCAGGACAGGATTTAATGCAAACAAGCATGGGATCGGTCGGGCCCTGGAACGACGCGCAGGTGCAGTCGGCGAGTGCCTGGCCCGTTTCATTGCCTTCGCATGCTGAGACTTCGAGGTTGGATGTCTCGCAACTGGTAACGCATTGGCTTTGACTTTGGGCCAGGGTCGAGGATGCGAGGAGGAGAGCTGTGACAACGGTGCTGGTGAGATGCATCTCGTTGGAGAGGAGGATACTGGTATTTTGTATTGAAATAAAAAGATGAAGCTTCAGCAGGAGGCGAGAAGTTGAATAGAGAACTCCAAGTCTTTACGCTTGTGAGGATTCAGGGGGCCAAGCATGGTCTCAAGGCTTGGTTTGCAGAGTAGCAGCCACCTCGTATTCGTGGTCCAGTCACAACCCGCAGCAGCTGAACGAATCCGTATTCTGAAAGTTTATCAACTTGGATCTATTAATAGTGGAGAAGATTGCATGCCTGGCTGATCTGTCCAGAAAGTGTGCAGCTGACTAGAGATCGCGTGATTTCTCCTAACATTATTCGTCAACTGCGTACTTGGTCAAGATCCCCAAATATCACGGCCATTGCGTTGAAATGAATAGTCCATGGCAATGGTTACAAATGATGCTTACCACGTGGATGGGGCCTGTGTTGGTACAGGAAGACTAGTTATGCCACTATCCCTGAGTTTGTCAAGCTCATTGCTAAAGATTTGGCTATTCCGCCAAGGTGCCTTGGCTACCTCTTCGTACTAAACTTTAACCTTTTTATTGGTTAGAAAAAGCAAGTGGGAGTTTTAGCTCTTACGGGGACTCCTCTAGAAATGATCATGCCTTGGGGCTATGGGAGTAGTTCTTCCCGGATTTTTCCTGAGGCATGCCTATTTTGAACTATCCTGCTTCAAGGAAGAAGCAAATCTGCAGCCCCGAGTATTATCGAAGGCGTCACCAGCAACTGGAGAAAGGAATTGTCCTCTATGCAATAGTCGCTGCCGGTACTGGCGAATCATATTCACATTATATTCAAGAAGTGCCTTTATCAAGAGCAATGATGAAGCTAGAAAGGGATGTGCTAGATGGACTCCCCTCCTGTATGAGCTACATTTTCCAGCCTGTGGTATCCCCGTTCCAATTTTTGTTACGCCATTCATTCGAAGAGGGTTTCGCGAGGCCATAGCGCGCTAGGGCCTCAGGACCGATCTTGATGTTGCTCCGGTCTTTAGGTTCGTCGTTAATGCCGTAGATGTAACCGATGAAGTAACTGAAGAGGACGGAAAATGTTAGTCCACTTATTTGACATAAGACAAAACATGTAATAACATACAGGGTGCCTGTTTGACTGTGCCAGACTAGCTTAGAGAGACTGGGCGTATAAGGTCCATACCCTTTCTCGAGCGCCTGACTAAAGTTTATGGTTAGCATGATCAGGAAACTGGAGAATCGACATACGGAAGAGCCTCCATAAAGGCCATACGGACATATTCCCTCTCGACAGCGGACAGAGTACAGTATGGTCCCAAGCTTGTTACCGAGGCGTAGACCTGGGACCATTTCCCACGCCAGCCAGATCGCAAACCCACTTGGGACCAGCCCTGGCTTATCTTGAGTGTTGACTTTGTATCCTAGGAGCTTTGGTACATTGCTGAAATCCTTCTGAGTAAACTCCTGGTAGGCAGTTAACTCTGGGGGCGTGTATGTTGTGGCCTGGCGGGATCTGGTCTTCGGATTTTGTATCTCAGTGTTCTTAAAAGGAACCTGAAGATAAACTCGCATGAAGGCTTTCCTGGAGGGCTTCTTTGGATTGCAACAGAGGAATTTAGCCGTAGCGTAAGAGTAGTGGCCATGGCGACGACGCATTTCTTCGCTAGCCTGGAAGTTACGCTCATTGAGCTTCTCGAGGATCTTCCACTGCGAAGGGACAGGTTGATCGAGGGTGATGATTGTGCCAGGGTCTGTGCCTTGATGGAACCAGCGCGAGGATGGGGACGGCATTGTTGTAAGAAGGTTGAAGAATCAGGAAGTTGAAGGAAGAGAATGTTGCGGTAGGAAGAGTCCTGAGTTAGAGATGGCGAATGAATAAAGAGGTGAAAGGTTTAAGGTTTAAGGTTGCCGCAGGTGAGGAAATCGTTGGCGCAGTGAAAGTCTAATAGAGTTGATCAAGAGGTGATGCGCTATGTGATCAAGAAGGGAGTGTTCAGTGGTGTTAACGTATCTCGCATTTACGTGAGGAGGACGTCTCTCTTTCGCTACGATCAGGGCGTCTTCGATGAGTATTCACCGAGCCTGTGGCCCTCTCAACACATATTAACCAGATCATAGGCAAATACCTTAACTGCGCTTGATTCCTAAGTGGCCATATTATCTTGTAAGGCTAATATTGTATCTCCGCTCTTAGTGACTAAAAGCTCTACCTTGCTAGAGGCTACTTTGCTGGCACGCCTAGAACACATGGTTGCTTTAAACTACTGTAAGACCTCTACTAGAGGCGCAATTGAGAAGAAATTTCAGCATCTAACTATAGCCCATTTAGCGGCCAGTTTTTCTTTATAGGTTAGGAGGATAGTCATGGTTGAGCTTTAGAGGTGAGCTTCGCGAGTCTATGGAGGATAGAGAGATAGATTCACATTTGACCATCCTAGGTATGCTAATAAGATGGTACTCTCTTATTTTAATTAACTTTCTAGTCCCTTAGAACAATATCCCATATAGTAGTCAAGCAACTAAAGCAAGTACTACCAGGGCGGCTTTGCCAGTATGGACGCCCAGAAGCAGGTATGCAACATCTCGAGCGTACGTATTCGAGACATAGCTAATCAACCCGGCAGCGGGGTATCGCATCCCAAGGCGGCGATGCATCCAGTGGCAGCTTCGAAGCTGGTGTCCCCCGAGCCAGAGAGGCCGGTCAGAGGGGTGTATATATTGAGAACAAATACATTGTACTTTCAAAATTGAATGCTCGCAGTCTACTTAATGTACATCATCTAGTTAGGCACACACTGGGAGTAATAAGGGTTCCAGTTCTTGCAGGTCGAGCCGGAAGCACAAGCAGTTGGACCAGTCCAGTTCCGTCCACCGCACTGGCCGTAGGCAGTCTGAGTGCCGCCAGGAGCAGAAGGGCCCTGGGGAGCCGACGTGCTAGAAGTAACAGGGACAGAGCTGCTGGGGACGGGAGTACTGGGCGCAGGCGACGTCCTGAGGGTTGTAGGCGAGCTGGAGGGGACAGGGGTGTACTGGGCCTTGGTGGTGGGAACCTGCACGGCGATGGTCGAGTACTTGGAGGACGCAGCAGACGAGGCCGCGGGGGTGCTGCCGGCGCCTGAGCCGACGGTTGCGGTGCCGGTAGAGGTAACGGCCGAGGTGGTTTGGGTGATGGAGACGGCGCCGGAGTACATGGCAGGACCGGGGACAACGTACGAGGCGATGGAGGAGTAGATGTTCACCACGACGCCGGGGTCGCTTTCAGTGTACAGCTCCGTGCCCAGGGTACCAGCCGGTGAGTCGGTGCCGGATCCGGTAACCTTGAGGTTGAAGCACTGGGGGTAGTTCTGTGCGCCATCTTTCTGCCCAGCGCTGTGCAGGGCGATCAGCTCGTGGCGGAGGACGTAGTTGCCGGGCGCAATGGATTTAGGGATCTCGACCATCCAGCTGTTGTTGTTGGCGATCATCTGGTCATCGCCCCAGGTGCCCGGCACCGCCGAGTTATCCACCAGCCCTACTCCGTCGATTTTGAAGAATTTGAGCGAGGTTTTGTCCACAGTGGTACACGACTCGCCGCAAGACGCGAGCATATCAATAACGGGTCCATGATGAGACTCTGGCCAGGCAGTCCATTGAAGTTGAATGCGATCGCCAGCCGCAATTTCGATATAGGCCTGCGCGTTGGTGGCGTTCTGGTGGCAGATGATGTCGGCGGAGTTGTACTGGCTGGGGGCGATGAAGCCGTTGCCGGTGTTGGGGGTGGTCCAAGCGGCGACCTTGGGAGGGTCGGACATGTAGGGGTAACTTCCAATGTCAAAGCCAGCATAGGAAACCCCGTTGACAACGACGTTGGTGACATGGCCATGGGCTGCGACACGCGTGGCGGAGAGCAGAGCTGCCAGGAGAGACAGAGACTTTGTTTGAGGCATTGTAATAGAATGGAAATAATACGAAAAGTAAATGAATGAATCGATGGATGGAAAGAATGTAAGCGACCAGCGCGGACTCAGTCAATGAGAATGAATGAATTGGTTGAAGTGTGAAGAACAGTCGAATCTAAGGAGAGAACTGGTCTCTTTTAAGCCCGAGCAATTGAGTACTTCAGCCTGAATGGCATCAATGTCTCGCAACAATGTGTCTGTGAGTTGAGACAATGGTTCATAGCCATTGGGCTTGGACCACTTCATGAATCAAGAAAGCCAATCGTGAATGCTGAAGATATTGCTACAGGCGCCACTTAATCTATCCGGAGAGTGTGTAAATAAGCATAAAACACTAGCTGTCTGGACCAGGGGCTCCTGTCGCAGGTTGATACTCTTAATGGAGACGGCGGCAAACCTTGGCGTGTTTCAGATTCACCAGTTGGGATAAATCCGTCTCTTCCGTGTACCGAGAGGAAATATTGAAAACAGCCTGTGTTTCAAGTACGTGAACTTTTGTCAATGACATGTCCCGTTGGCGGAAAATTCTAGTCATGTTCCTGTAGAAGAGGAGCCGTGCTGGTACCTGCATATGCAATGAGTCAGTTCAATGGTAGATCCCTATCTTGTTTGATTAAACCCGTTCATCCGTGTTCGTAGCTGGTGATTAGCACGAGATTGAATACGTCAGTCCATAAGATGTTCATGAGTGCAATAGAAACAATATATCTTGGCTCACGTCAATAGTTGCATGTCAAGAGGAAGCCATACATTCACCATCTCACTGCAAAAGGTCCAGGTTTTGCGCAGCCGTTAGCACACACATGAAATTCACTATTGAACAGGATTTCTGCGGAACAGCGTCGACTTTCAATTTTGCTCTGGGATCAGCTGGGATCATGGCATGAGGGTTAATATCTTACTACTAATTCTATTATTTCCATTTCTACCATTTAGGATAGTGATGTCAATCTCATCTCAGCGGCGTCACATTGAATTTGCTGTATCGTTCTTTTGGTGCCGCTCCCTCCAAATATAAAGTGTTGAGCCCTAACACTTTTCCTTACCCTGAGTTCCTACCAAATGTGTTCCTAGTAGAATGAAATTGAAGGAAGAGAGAGAGAGTTATAAACAATGATTAACTCTACAGAATGAAAATCAGTCTTCTGATAGTTTATTTGGCCGAATATTCCGGCTACTCTTTGTAGATGGTGCAGTGTCCGTAGCCAGCCACTTCTGATTGCTCCTCACTAGATATGCTTTGCAGGGCTGAAGTCGTAACGGCACGACTCGGCAATTGAAAAATGCAGTAAAATATCAACATTGCTAAATAATTGAAAATATGCAGAAACACCCCTTTCGCTACATCCAACTCCTGCAAAATCCCAAAATCCAAAGCACACTACTCAATCAACCTGACTCTAGTCGGCAATCCCAGCGACGGCTTAGCCGTGACATCCAGAACCTGATACATGAAAGTCCCCTCCTCATAAACGATCTCGAAATCAAACATCCTCACCGTCATCACTAAGGCAATCTTCAACTGCATCAACGCCAAGGTCTGACCAAGGCACATCCGCGGTCCCTTCTCGAACGGTCTCCACGCGTCGCGCGGGACAAAGTATGGATCCGCGGGATCTGTAACGAGGTGCCGCTCTGGGTAGAATCTCTCCGCATCCTTGAAGAGGTCTTCACGGCGCATGGTAGCGCAGTTGTTGACGAGGACGGCGAAGGGGTATGTGGGCCATTCTTTGCCGTCTGCGAGGAGGGTTTGATCCGGTTGGCCGCGGCGGAGGCTGACGCCTGTTGGAGGCCACAGGCGGAGGGCTTCTTTGATGACGGCGAGGGTGTAGGGGAGGTTGTTGACAAGGTTGGGGTCGTTGCGGAGGAGATTCGCGGCGGCGGAGGGGTCAGAGCCGAAAAGGGTGTTGTGTTCTTCTCGGAGGGTGTGGAGGACTTGGGGGTGTTTGCTGAGGGCGGCGTATGTATACTGGCTATTGTTAGTGGTGGTGGAGTAGAGGCTGCAATGGACTTACGCAGAGAGTGCTGGCTGAGGTGTCGTGACCAGCGAAGATGAGCGTCTTGACGGACGCGATGAGCATGTCCCGGGTATATTTATCCATGGCGGTGGTAGGGGGGATGGACTTGTTCAGGTTGCGGCTGGTAGCAATGGCATCGTCGATGGCGTAGTATTTGGCCTTTTCACTTGGAACAGCAGTTGGGCCGCTGACGACTCGTTGATCTACCAGGCGACCGACATAACGGTCTAGAGCACGTCCGTTGCTCCACTTTCGATAGTGTCGTCGGAGGCTGACGTCGTAGAGATACCGAGACCAAAAGTCCTGCGGTGCCAGGGCGGCCTGTTTCCTGAAGAGTTCGAGGAATTCATCGTCATCCCTCTGCGCGTTGCACTTGATTCCCCTGTACTCTGTCAGTTGATGCTTTATCCGCGACAAGGACATGTGGCTTACAAGATCACCCAAGCCGAGATGTTGAATATCATCCTCGCGCCTAGGTCTTCCATTCTGAAGATATCATTCCTTTGAGCATGTTCTCTTAGAACATCGGCAAAAGCCAGCGCCTCATCCACGATATTCGGGACATGCTGCAGCAACTTCCGCGGCTGGAAGCCCGGCGTGAAAGACTTGCGCGCAATGAACCAGTCATGTCCATTCGCAGAGACCATAGACTTCTCGCCAAGGATAGGGCCCGTCCACTTCTGCATGATCGCCGACTCCTTGGGAAGATTCATCTTGTGGACGATCTGCGTGGCCAGTTCCGGGTGGGCAATGACAAGCTGCGGCGGCGCGAGCGGCCACAGATCAAGGTAGAAGAAGTCACCGAGACCGTACCGCTGGCGCATCAAGTGCGCGAACAGCTGTGGGGTTGCATCGGGGGGTAGAGTGCTTGCGATTTCGCGCATGACTAAGAAGTGACCCCAGATAGCGTGATGCGGCGGTCCAGGGAGATTTTTGAACATGTTTCGTTGCTGGCGCAGTCTCACGAGGAAGTAGCTCGCGAGAGCGACTAGGACGAGAAGTAGAGCGAGCATGGTTGTATTCGGGTGTTGAGGACCAGGAGTCGTCGCTGGTGGAGTAGATGCAGAGTTGGAGTGGTGAAGAGACGACGAGGTAGGCAAGGTATTCAGCTTCAAGCATACTGTTTGAGTATGATTCTGTTTGAATTGTTGTGTTAGAAGAGAGTCTGATCAGCTGAGCTCTGAGCTCTTATATATTCGTTCTCAAGGGGTCAAGGCGGATTCTGTGATGGTTGTGTCGTGATGTCGAATCTATTTCTGGCTTACTGGGGCCAAGTTCCCGTATACTAACCTTGGCTTGCTTACAGACTGCAGATCATCTGAAAATAACCCCTGCAAGGCTGAAACACCAGGCTTGGCGGACCGTTGCTTGGTATTCATGGCGGTGCTTCTTTTGATTGGGGATTCTTCACTAAACCTTAACTACGAGATTAGGGCGGTGCAGGGATCGCCCCCACTTCTTATCACACTCCATGTGTCTTACAATATGGTACATCCATATGCCTTCGTATATGGTATAGATGAGCAGACTGTATCTTTGCAAGATCATTGCTCACAAACCTTCGGGATGTCTCGTATGTGATCGATCCTGCCTTGCCTCTGCGATGTGTGTCGGATGGGGGCCATGGGGCCGCAGGGTCGATCTCACGCCTCAAAAAAGATGCACAGATACTCGTGGCATCTCGGTGGCAATTATTGAAGCAATCTGTAGTTATAGTTCTTTACCATCCTTTCCTATAACACTGTAGAATTAGAAACTTATCCAGACTCTCCTCAACCTCAACTGTCCCGCCCATCTGTTTGACCATTTCCAAGCTCACCATGTTCGCCCTACGAGACGCAATTTACCTGATCGAACTGGCATTCTATGCCCCCATAGTCCCTGCTATCATCTTCATCATTCTACTCCATGGCAACAAGCACCCCTACACATGGCGCCCGATCGTGATTCCCCTCGTCATTCTCTCCGGCTTGCGAATCGCCGCCGCAGGACTGGGCCTAGCAGCCATGGACCCCGCAAAATCCAATCTCCTGACAACAGCCACCCTTCTAGACACAATCGGACTCGCGCCAGTCTTGTGTCTCTTGATAGGACTTTTGATCCGAGCGTAAGTCGCCTCCTATCCTCGACACATCTTCTAACACGGATGGCAGCAACGCCCCTGTATACAAAGGCCTGCCTCTCTGGGTCTTCATCCCGCTGCAAATGATCACCATAGCAGCGACGGTGATGACTGCATACGGCGGCCGAGACCTCTACACGAGCCGAGAGAGCCAAGCGCAAGACCTCCGCTTGATGCGCGCCGGCATCATTCTCTTCATCGCCCTCTTCACTGGGATTGTTGTCCTCTCGGTTATCACCATGCTCAAGGTCCGGGTGAAGTTCTACCGCACTGAACGCGCCGCTGTCGTTTGCGCTTTGCTCTGTGTACCCTTTATGAGTGTACGGTTGGCGTTCTCCGCTGGATCGTTGTTTTCGGGGGATGGGTCCGTGTTGAACCCGATGTCGGGGGATGAGACGGGAATTTGGCTGCATTTCCTCATGGTCATTGTTATGGAATATATCGTTGCGCTGTCTGCCACCGCTGTTGCTCTGACTGCGAGGAAGGTGGTGGTTTTGACGGCAGGAAAGGCTGATTCACTTAAGGATGAGGAGATTTGAGATATGTTGTTGACGTTGCTTTAGGAGCCGATGGGTTATCTGGTGCTACAAGTTTATCATTTCATCGCTGATGGTTTTATGTATTTACTTTGCTTAACATCGTTTGTTCAATCTCATCATTTGCTTGAATCTACCCACTTATCATCATTCTCTACGTACTGTTCCTCTATAGTTGTAATCCATCCTTGGAGGAAAGTGAAGGGTTCCGTAACTTCCATCCACAATAAACCTCTACAAATGGTTACTAGAGTCACTGACTGAGTCACGAACAGAATAATATATTTATACATATAGGCGTTTCTCTCTGGACTCTTTGGCAAACCTGTTTGTCTCTCTCTTGTCGCAATATATATTTACATGAAGCATTGGCATAAAAAATACTCAGTGCAGTAATACAAGTTGTTCATTTGACTTAAATACATATAAAGCACGGATAAGTTCGCATGCGCATCTTTCTTCACATATGGATAGTCATTCGATCCCTGACAGAAAAGGTCTATGTGCTTGAAGGATAAAGACAAGATAGCCCAAACAACCTACTGCTGGAAGGCTTCGCCCGAGGCATACTACCATAAACCAGAACATTCACAAAGGTGTGAAGTTTCAGATTCCGCCTCACACCTCACAGGGTCCTATACGATGAAGGTGTAACGTTGATCTGGTCTAATATTAGACACGACACTCATGCGCCCTAGACACGAAGAAAATTGCCTCTGATAATCTTCTTCAATGCTAACCACCACTTAGGGGCGAAGGAGAGGAGTAGAAGGTGAAGCAGCCTTGTCCACAGAGTTGCTGGGCTTTTGGCCCAATGGGGGGTTGACTGCGACTTGATCCTGCAGATCTGCAAGATTTTAGTCATGAAGATCACTCACGCGAGGCACACATGGTTATTTTGTCATCAGAAATAAACCCCTGATGTTGCATGTTTTGACTGCAAAGTGCCCAAGCTGAAGGCCCTCGTGAAGATGTTTCACTATTGGGGCCAAATCCATCATGCAGAGCCTCGTGTGGGTTCTATATAGAGATGTGCTGGGAGGCGCAAGTTGCATTAGGGGCTAAAATTATGTGGATTAAGGTTATTAATTCACGATGCTTCGTGTTGGGGCTGCTCTTGGCTGGAACAAGTCAAGATCGTCAAGATCACTTGGCGATGCTTATTGGATCGCCAACGGCCCCAACGATCTGATGTCAGACATGATGTTATTCACGAACAATTCAAGTAATCCACTAAAATAAAGCAAGTAGGGCTCTATCTGTTAGAATATTGACATGTTAGATTATTGGTGGCTGTGTTCGTGTTGTGGGTTTTGCAATGGGGGCCATATCACTTTACGACTTTGTACACTGCAGCTTGCTATGGGCCGAAAGTGTACTAATACACACTCAATGCGCGTCAAAGTCGATCACTTCTTCACTTACCACTCATCTCAACAACTCTAAAGCACATCTCGCAATGGAGACCACAAAAATGCAAATGGACATGCACAAGTCCAACTCCTGGCTCTACTACAAGCTCAGCATCCACACTCTAGGCCTTGTCCTTCGATCTGGCCTCACGATTACCAGCCCCGATCCCAAAGCAGACGCAAAACTCCAAATCAAATCAGGAGTACACTATGGAGGAACAATCAAAGTCATCGTGGTACGTCTACCCAGCAACAGAACAAAACTGACACATAACTAACACACCTAGGCCGGACTCCCCCGCACAGGCACAATCAGCATGAAGCGCGCCCTCGAAGAACTAGGATACGGCCCATGCTTCCACCTCGCCGAACCCCTCTGCCAATTCGACAACCTCCGCCAAAGCGCCGCCATCGTTCACACAAAAGACACGGCCCTCCGGCGGCGCAAGCTCGCCAAACTCCTCCAAGGCTCCAAGGTCACCCTCGAAGTCCCCGGGAGCGCATGCCTACCCGATCTCCTAGAAATGTACCCCGACGCGAAAGTCATCCTGACAGAGCGCACCTCCGCAGCCGTCTGGCTGCGCTCATGGCGCGGCTTCGGCATCGATCTGCGGTCCGACTGCTTCCGCTGGGTCGGGTACTGGGTTCCTGGCGTTGTGGCGGCCAACGATCTCTACCGCGGTTGGATGCGGCTTGCGTCCGAACGGTTCGGGGTTGAGGCCGAGCCATCGGAGGAGCTGTACCATGCGCACAGTGCTTGGGTGAAGAGCATTGTGCCGCAGGAGAGATTGCTGGTCTTCAAGTGCCAGGATGGGTGGGGCCCTTTGTGTGAGTTTTTGGGGAGGCAGAGGCCGAATCCGTTCCCGCATGGCAATGAGGCGGGCTATTTACGGTATTATAAGCGGGTGGCGATGGTGTTGGGGATTTTCCTGTGGTTGGTTGTTCTTGCAATGGCTGTTTTGTCGTTATTTGTGATGTCTTTGGTTGAGTAGAGCTGCTGGTGCTCTGTTTTGTCTGTTTTTCAAGCCTTTATACCTTGGTGTTTTATGGAGCATCTATGTTAGATTTGCTTATGCTTAGCCAAATTTTTAGACCGAGCAAGGTCGCTTGTTTATATGTTGTCACCATAGAACAAATGACCCAACAGCGAGATGTGGTAGACTACACCGTAGAGCGCACTTTTTGGAGATTGCAGAGAGATACTCGTGAGGCTATACCAGAAGGGGGCGCGTCATTACAGCAATAGAGGACATAAGCTGCGCAGGAAATATTTACAACCAGACATCAAAGAAAAGCTGCAACGGCAGCTGCAACAACAGGCGCAGCCGTGATCAATGCCCCCGCAGGCCCAGCAGCAGCAGCACCAGGTGTCTTGGTCGCCTCTGGGGCAGTAAACTTGTCCACCCCCGCCGTAACAGCCAATTCATAATACGAGCTTGTCGCCGGCGAATACGTCGCGCTACTCGACGTCGACGATGCAATCGTAGCACCACCCACCGAGCCGGTCATCCCAACGCTCATCGTGCAACTGGCAGACTCGGTGCGGGACCGGATCTTGCACTCGTATGACTGCGTGACGGTGATATCGTAACTCGTTTCCTTGCCCGAAGTCGAGGCGGTGTACACGCCTGTCACGCTGACGGTCGAGGGCCCCTGGATGATAGTCCAGGAGTTCTTGATGTTGCAATCTGTCTTGGGGGCGTCTTTTAGACAGCCCACGTTGTAGGTTGTTGCGGCGGCGTTGATTCCTGCGACGCTGGCGCCGGTGCTGGCCCAGCCGCCGTAGCTCAACAAGGTGGCGGACCAGTTGGGAATGAAGTAGCCGACTGTAGTGGTTTTGTCGTCGGCATGGGCTGCCAGGGCGTAAAGGGCTGCAGGAAGGAGGAATGAGGCACGCATTTTGATGGTTTTTTTTCTGGTGTGCAGACCTGAGAGAGAATAGAAATGGGGGAGAGTCAACAGACAAGATTACGGAAAGAGAGAAGCACGGCCCCTTTTAACGGGGAGGAAAGAGAAAGAATAATAATTTTCGCGTCCAGTAGGAGATTACCAATGTCAATAGTCTACAAACAAGCGACGCCAGCACAACGCTAGGAGAACAGGAGATGAGTCTTCTGGAGGTATCCTACCAGGTCCACCAACCATTGTTTCTGAAATCGATGCTGTTGGCGCTAGACTGCATCTCCTTGTGCTGATTGGCATGTGTCTTGTAGGGTAGCATTCGGTGATACTTTAGTGTTGAAAGCTAGCCCCTCTAGTGTTCAGCTAAGGCTCTTGGTAACAGGCCATGCTTGGAGAGCGAGTTTCTCCGTTATTTGCTGAAAGTTTGGTTGATTTCTCTGCTTTGCGCGCCGACAAACACAAATATTGGACTTGACTTTGACGGACGGTTGTTATGTATGGCCGTTGGCCGGATCAAACATGGCAACAGCTTGATACGTCAGTCTAATTTCACAGCCAATGTAGGAGCCTTAAGGTACGCGATGACAAGCTAGCCCTGATTGCCGTTAGCTCAGGTAGTAGATGCGATGTGGCTGAGTCCAGCACGCAGCGGTCACAGACACATAGTAGCCAATCAGATGTTAGAAGGCAAGACCATTCAAGTAAAGTCGTGATAGTCAATTAATGATATATATTAACTAAGTACCTCGGTTCTAAAGCAATGATTAGCCAATGATCAAATTCGCCGGATAGGACAATACATGGCATAGATTGATATAGCAGGCCCCTTGCCACAGTACCGAATACAATATAGATAAAGATCTGTTATATAACTGCTTAGCATCTGCAAGGCTACCAGATCAATACACCGCGTCTATATCGCCATTGGAGGGATACGTTAAAATCCGCCCTTTCGCATCATCTCAACCACTCCCCGAAAGGCCTGTTGACGCTGCTGTTCCCAGCTATTAAACGCAATATTCGACAGACCCACTGGAATCTGGTCATCTCCAGCAAGGAGCTTCTCCATCGTCTGCACAAGGGTGTTAGTTGAAGTCGAGAAGTCACGTGTGTAAGTAGTAGACGAACCTCCTTAGTAAATTCCTTTACTGGGATACCAAAGGGCTTTCCATGGACCGTCTCTGCCATGTCGGGTTGGTGCTTTGGATCATGAAGTTCGGCTGCAGCGCAGGAAAATCAGTATCATATTATAACATCTTTCGTCGTTCTCTTTCCCAACCCCTGGAATGAACGAATCCTCAGGCATACATACTTTGCACGATAGGTGGAAAGATCTCAATCACTTTGATGTTTGTGTTCTTTAGATGCTCCCGCAGGCACAGGATCCAATGATGCAACGCAGCCTTGGAAGCGCAGTAGTTGGAGCAGCGAAGAATGGGAACTAGTGCGAGATTGGATGAAGTGCTGGTACATTATCTCTGGTCAGGTGGGAATATCCCAGAAATCGGAAGCAGGTATTTGCCCATGACTTACAATATGAATGATGTTGGAGTGTCCCTTTTGGCGATAAAAAAGGGTAGAAATTCCTTCGCCAATGCAACGTAGGAAACATAGTTGACCTAGAAACATTGTCAGTTAAATGTAAGAATGGAAAGAATGTGACCGGTCAAGGTTTAATGGCTCCCTTAC